CAGGATGCTGGTCTACGTAACAATGAAATTACTGCTATATGTGAATAAGTAGCCCAAGTTACCTCTGGTAGCGAGATGGGATGACCGTGCGCACGCACCGCGACATAGCTTACAAACAAACCAATCAAGACATAGAGATCTCTAACCAATTCGACGAACCCATGTACATGTACCGAGATTGGTTGACAGCTAGAAAGTTAATGAACGGGCCATATCAACAGCGATTGGATGGTCGAGAATCAATCAATGTGTGTGGGATTGGCATAGGTGATGTTGAGTTATATGGTTCTCTGAATACAATTAGCCTCATCTTTAACTCATTGTAGCAGTGCTGCGAACCCTATCTATGAAGTGCATAAAGTTCAAATTGACTAGAGTTACCTGTTTTCGCACTATTCAGTTGTCCTCCTGTCTGAGTCCGAGTTCGTGCCATTCTGTGCCGACTACTAATCCGATTTCCACACTTTCGTCAAGTAGAGTCAACATGTTGCTCTCATGACTGAAAATTCGATAATTTCACTGAATTTGACGACTGAGCGCTATACGAAGTAGTGGTAACGGGTCTGGATGAACTAAATGCTCATCGCTCTGGGGTTCGAATCCGTGTGGTTTCCGTATATATGCACACTGAGAATGATTTTTTAAGAGGATAAAACACTTGCCACTAAGCTAGGTGAATAAAACAACGTATCCTCAGACTGCCAAGTGAGGAAAGATACGATAGCAACATCTGTACGCCAAACTTTGAAATTAGGTACGCTATATTTTCGTAAAAACATTTGGTGGAAATCCATTTTTTTCAAATCACATAGGGGGTGGCCATACACATATACTACTTATAATAGTTCAACTCACCACTTGTTGCTTTGGGGCCAAATTACGATATCTCAGGCTGAGCAGTTTGCTTTTCTGTTGCTTCAACCACAAATTCAATTTTTCCATCTCATGCGGATTGCTAAAATCGTTCACGCCCAAACCGAACCGATCTCTCATTTGTGACATTTGCCGTGCGTGTGCGGCGGCCAATTTCGTTCTCCCACTCGACGGCACTGACTGCTCATCCCGAAAAATTTGTTCCTGTATCGAGGTGATTTTCGCCTTCACTGAAGCAATACTACTCGTAAGTAATCAGGCACGCACGCACGCACGCGCATGAGAGGGAGAGGAAGGATGAACATGTCGAGAATACAAGGAGGCATACCTTTCATTGATTTGTGCTATCCGGGACTCGTAATACCGTATAGAATGTTGTAGCAACTCATCATTTTCGTCAAGTCCCATGCATGCTGATTCATCGGCGGTCTGTTGGAGCGGGCCGATCACCAGTGCCATCTGTTTATCGTACAGTTGGCCAAGTAGACGATAGAAACCCACATGCTTTTGATCATGAGATAGGGCGATCTATGTCACGAAACAGGGATGGTTGAGGTGAGATGCCAAATAAGGTCGTACTTTTTCCAGTTGATTTTTGTATAAATCTTTCGTTATGTTCATCCTTGTAAATGATTACCTAATTGACTGACAAGGTCCGCGCTGTGCTGTTTAACCTTGTTGTTGTAACTATGGCAACGATCACGCAGCCAATCACACACAATATGACTGGTTGTCCTTTGTGCTCTCGTGATAAGTGACGCGGGTGGATGGATGCACTGGCGAGGACAAGTGGACCAATCTGAGGGCACCGTTGGATTCCAATTGTGTCCGCCAGACATACCGATTGAATAGGTCATTTCAGCACAGTGTTTTCGTCGTGTTAAATGAACGACCAAATGCACTTTATGGGACCCATCTGGTGCGCAATGAGGATCCGGAATGCTGGAGGAATGCTGAGGAAAAAACAGGTCAAGATCAGCGAGACAGAGCTATCCCGGGGGGGGGGGAGCTGCATGGACGCATTCCGCAATAATTTCACAGCATTCCAGTCGCGCAATATTAATCTGATATTCCCGAACTAAATGATGCGTTTCAAGAAACTCAAAGAACGGTGGTCTCCCCCTCCCCTCCGCGCCGCGCCGCTCCAAGGGAAGAAAATAGAACATCAGCCAGTGAGATACCGAGTTCAGAGTTAAGTAGTAAGTTAGTAAGTAAGGAGGGGAAATAACATTTTGAGTGATTCCGAATTGGGAAGTACAAGTTGACAAATAAGGTAGGGTGTAAACTGTCTCTGGCAGTTCAGTATAGTTCAGTTTGTACAACCATTGATCATACCTTTTCACGCGCCCGTTTTGGTTGCTATCCGAGTGCTAACCAACCATTGATTGACACGAAGCAGGAGAAGAACGATAGGAAAACTGAAAGTAGAGACAAATGGAAAAATGGAGAATTTCGGTAGGTAAATGTTGCAAATAGATTGAGAACATGCACGAGTGTCACTGTTTAGGACAAAGCCATACCACTCAGTGCCTTTGATCACGGTTACTATGATCTCGGGGTCCCCATCCAGGGAGCCTAATGGCACTTATGCGACTGAGTTTCTTGGTTAGGGTTTTCGTACCCGCATACGAGGTTTTGGGTTTGATTGCCTCGGCAAAAATCGCAAAACCTATTTGGCGACAGGCGCAACACATGCCCCAACCAACGGAATATGTGGACGTAGATCGCTTGTTCCAATAGGCGACCGCGGGTCTGTTTCGGACAGGAAATGTAGTGTTATGCCAGTGTTGTGTTATGGTTGGGGTTTACAGATACGTTTTAGCAATAAAATGAAGCCAATCTCTATGAAAATTTGCGCACAAGTCATAGTAGTCTAATAAACTGCTTCTCCGCACTACGCACTTTCTTTCAACGAATAATACTGGCCGTATTCTATGTATTGGATATTGAAAGTTCGAAAACAACCGGACAGGATAGTTGACAGGATGTTGGCATTTTGTTTCAAAACACAGTCACCTATAATCTACCTGATCCGTTAGCCCTAGTCATTGCAGTTCTCGAGAGATTGCTATGGAAAATCAATCCGGTATGGGTGGAGCATTTAACGCATTATCAGTACCCCCTCGACCCCCCACCCCCCCAAAAAAATAATCGAAGCAAGTTCGAAAACGTTACTTGGCAACAGCGGAAGTTGTAGCAATCAAAATCATGAACCCATTACTGTGTAAACAGAAGAAGATGTTTGCCGCACCCCAACTGCCTTGGCCCTAACCAAACCTACGTGATGACCCGAACGATGACCTCATTCGTATCGTGATGACGCAACATGGCGTGACAAATGGCCCGTGAAAAAAGGTCACCGAAAATTCCAGAATTGACCTTGTTCCCTCCTTCACCCACTGTCCCCATCTTATTCACTTGCTTGGATTAAACTGGATAGACATTGTTGTAGTTTCATACTTACGAAAACAAGCTTGTTCGCAATACTGTTTGATATTGTGAGTAAATTCAACTTTTTTTATGTACCGTGTGTGTGTGTGACTCTGACGAAGTTAACTAAGGTTTATATCATAAAAATCTACGGACAAGGAGTGCTCGGTGGTATAAGCCCCCCCCCCTTGAAGTGTTTGGGCATTCTCCACGGGACTGTCTTAGCAGTTTTTGTTTTCAAGTAAACGTTTAGTATATACGAAGTTCAGACGCCGTGCTTTTTCTTCAATCCCGATGAACCTAATGGAACTAACTGATTTGTTGGAGATACCGAAGGTCATGTCACCATACCGACAGCAGAGGCGATCTTGTAGTCACTTCGTATCTGTCCAGAATGCTTGAAAACGTGTGTATGTACAGTCGGACTGTGTACTCTATATGCTGACCAAAAATGGCCCCAATTCCCCATCTTCCTTACACATTCTCAATTCCCTTGTGCTTTTGCATTATGAGTTTGGCAGTGATCAAGGAAGTTCCCTTCACTGTATTGCGCAGTACAATGATGCTGCTGCCGCTGCTGCTGCTGCTGCTGATATCATCTCTTTTGCAGTAAATTACATTTTGCATTCACCTTGGCAAATGAGATAACTAACTGATTGTGGGGTCATGGACCAGACCGACCATCATTCATTTGTGTCACGTTCTATTGAAATTGATAGTTTCACGGCGACTTCAGGTCATCAATAGCGCAGAACCATGCAAGAACCGAATGCTCACGAATGACCTTCAAAGCGGCAAAGATTTTCTTTTTTAAATCCAGTAAATCCGAAGGTGTTTTCACATTCCGGTGATGTGGTGAATAAAAAGTACCCGGTCGAAACTCATTCATTGTCTGCGTGTTTGTATTTCTGTTCGCAGTGTGGGTGTGAGATCGAATCCGTACATAAATGTGGTGATTCCAGCCTGCGAAATAACACATATCCGGGAGCTATACGTTACAGTTTTTGGGCAACTGCAATTATTCAAGCTTCACGGGTGAGGTCAGCAAAGAGCGTGCGTGCCACAGCTTCTGAACTACACACAATAGGCTGATTGTATAAACCAATCAGAAACCGTGTGGCGCAGGCAGAAGATGAATAACTGCAGGAGTACTCTAGAACGCGATTGGTAGACGCCCGGATGACCATTGACTTTGTTTTGTACATATTATTTAATCCCTCTTATTTCTTTCAAGAATGAACTACTACTCCTATGACCTTTTCCTTTTGTTTTGGTTAAGTTGGATATTGCGTGAAAATGCCGTTACGTGACGTACGTGATTGCTAATCTGTGATTCTCTTTGCGTGATTCGCATTTCGTATTCAGTGTTTATTACAAATACAACAATCACTACGATAAATTACCGTTACATCATTGATTTAAATTGGAAGTGACGACGGTAACTCATTTCCGCGTTCGTCGTCCGGGTCGGAGATCGCGATGACGATGTGTCGAAGAGGCACATGCTGCGCTCACGTTCCACTGATTTTTCTTTATTGTGATTAGCTACTGAAATCAACAAGCGCTCTGTCTAAATCAATTGTACACTCCATTCATTGACCTGAAATCCCAGCACTAGTCAAGTCAGCAGCTTCAATTGATCCAATAACTTCTGCGTTTCTCTAATTGAAATAACCTCCGCCTCATTGACTGCTTCACATTCATCTTCTTCTTTGCGACGCTTAGCTTGATTCGAAACGAGTTCATCTAATGATGTAAACATTTTAAGTAACCCACATCATCAAATTCTAAATAGGCAATGTCTTCTTCAAAAATACATTCTTCAATAAACAATCCCATAGTGATTGAGGTTTTCAATCAGCTCAAAGCTATCCTCGATTGACTGCATTGTCGGTCAATTCAATGTGGGTTGGAACCCAGCTTTCATGAAAGCGTTGATCAGTAAATGCGGATGCACAGACACCCCAGATTTCTTGATCAGATGCACGCATATGAGGATGTCCACTTCAGATTTCATGCTCATTTGCTCATCTTCGATCAAAGACAAAACATATTCCAGTAAATGTTTCCAAAACGAACATTTGAAAGACCAAATCACACCCTAATACACTAGGTGTAATATGGAAGAACAGTTTGGAAGCAGCGGTACTAATTTGACACTGGAGAATACTACGGCTTTATTGTGGCATGGAGCGTTATCTATCGATAGTAAAATAGAGCGTCTTTGAAAAAGCATCTTGCGGTTGACATCGGACAGCTAACTGTGAAATAGTGCGGAAGTCATCCATGCGTTCTTTGAAGAACTATAACTGCAGACCTCGGAGGCATCGTGGAGTTTGAAACTTTCCAATCACCAACGGTGATAACTTTTCTACAGTCATGCTCCGAGAAAGCAGTAACGTGACTCTTTATTTGGATATCTTGGATCTATAAATTGCTTTTTTTAAACTTGATGTTCGTTCTGGGAGCTGCTTGTAATACAAGGCTGTTTCATCTGCATTGAAAATGTCACATTCCGCGTATCCATGGGTCAAGTGCGATGAACTCGCTCGAAGCTCGTCCAGTGCATCAAGGGGTACCATTAAACTTTCCACTGAAACCTATAAAGTAATGCAAACGAGTAGTTGCTTTTCCCCTAATTTGTAGGATCGAATAACACGTCTGTCTGACCAAGAGTGAAATTAACTTTTAGAAGCCTTGAAGGCATATTGATTCATTCTTTGTGCTAGCTGGATTGCCTTTTTCAAATGATGCTCTCCGCCATGGGAAAATCACCACGCTTTTCTCTCAGAGCAGTAAACCAAGCCAAATTTGCCTCATTCACTGACTTGAACTTTTCATTGGTTTTCAAGTAGCATCTTTTCTGAGATGCTCTAGCGTTTACAATGGTATATAACACTATAAACAGTTTTTCTTGAAACACGAAGTGATTCGGTTATGGAGCTCTGATTTTCACCTGGCTGTTTCAGCATTTTTCAGCGTCACACTAGGTGAAACTCGATTGGCTAAGTGCGACATTGCAGGTTGGTTGATCCATGGCCGTCCCGAACACCGGTCAACGACCAACTGAGTAGGTATTGTAACTGAAATGGTTGGGCATGTGTTCAGCACTAATAATTGTTTTACGTTCCCTGTCCATTTCAGGCGTACAATGGTTGAATACGGTGCGCACTAACAACGGAGAATCAAAA